TACTGGATCATCGTTCGTAGTGAATGGAGGGTTCTGCCTCATTTTCCTAGTTTTCTCTAGACTCCCATAGGAGAATGAATGAGAGGACTCGTCCATCCCTAACCCACAATTGGTAGGACAAGTACTCATTCAAACGAAACTTCATGTGTGATTTACGAGTGCATGGGATGAATGGCCAATTTGAAAACAGGATTGACCAATTCAAAAACCTTATCTTTTGTTTTCATACTGCCAATATCAGTCTTTTAGATGAGTTGAATTGAGTGTGTTTCACTTCATCTTCATCCTCGTCATTCAGAGGTCTATCAGTGTGTACTTATAGGTGGTGCCTTGCACTGCTTCTAAAAGGTGAGATCTCTTCGACTTTCCGGAAAGCAACGCTTCCATCTTCTTGAAAACACTTTCTGCCCGTGTATACAGAGGTTTCGGAGTTCTCTGAAAGACGGACGGCTCTCTAAACTCCTGAAAGTTATGACATTCCCGAGAAGCCCCCTTCCGCTCTTTGCGGCATAATGCTTTTTGTGCTGGTAATGCGATCACACATTGGTGAAGGACAGGAGATCAGTAGGCACTAATGTGTGAATGCCCACTGACCTATTCTCTGCTTTGGTCAANCCCCCCGTGGCCTCCACGGAATCCTAAAATTCGGCCCATCCCGATATCCCCTACGTTTGGAATGGATACCGACTTCCGGAGCATATCATCACTATTCATCCTATGTGGGTATCTTTGGATGAGCGGTTGTAATTCTGAAAACATTGGGAAGATGGAATGATATCGGTTCTGAATGGAACAATAAGTAGAGATAAAACATCAAACATGGTGAGCACATCTCTAGAGAATTGGAGAATAGAGAAATCAGTGAATAGGAAAAGAGTAGGTGCAGGTTGATTCAAATTCTGGGACCTTCAAAGGCAAGGCAATCCAATGGATATGTGTACACTACCCTTCCCAAACTTTTCTGTACACTGGTCTACTTGGTCCAAGGCATTTGATCTCTGCGGCAAACTCCTAAATCCACGATTCCTCTATTCCACAGATCAATTTGTATCTAAAAAGTTGGGTTACTTCCGTCATTCCCACTATGAGCAATGTCTTGATCGCTCTTCAAAAGCCTACCCGATGAGTGCACTGAGCAGATAGATCACCAGTAGCCAGTATGTGTTACTTGTGGACGTTTGTTTTGATTTTTCCACTTTAAGGGTCCCAGAAGACAAAATATCGGTACGGTTCGCAGCTGCGCTGACACAAAAATGGATAAAATACATTGCCTTTGTTGTACGGTTATCAATCTTACCAGACTTTTCAGACTTGAATTCAAAATGTGCTCATCCCCGGTGTCTACAGCTTCGACCTTTGACGCCAATTTATTACAGCAGACTTTTGACAACGCCATCGAGGTGAAGGACACAATTTTTTCCTAGTTCCTCGTGAACTGGTGTAATGATGCTTATTTGAGGAGACATGTCGTAGCTTCGGGCTTTTTTCACCTTTTCAAGACAGAGAACGTCGAGATGATCTTGGGAAAAGTGGAAAAGACGGTTCGTGTGCACCACTTGTTAAGAAAAAGCCGGAAGAAGATTTTCGAAAAGTTCTTGCCTGAAATGGAAGAGTCTTCTTTCGAATTTAGGTTAAAAAGCTAATGCGAATGGAGTTAATACCAGCTGACAGACTGAGTCCACCCGATCGCTTTAGTGAAGCACATCTGTTTGCCCCTCTTTCACCTGCTGTATCTGCAAAAAGCTAGGAGCGACCCCTCTCGTTAAAAGACAGAACCGAGAGGATTTACGGGTTTGAGTGAAAAACTTGCGGTAACCTAACGTACCGGCGTTGGCCAGGCCCTCCTTTTTAGAGACTGCGCCTGGAAAAGAAATCCTTGACGCCTTTATCCTTATTTACAGTTTGTAATTAAAAAGCCTACTACTGTTGAATCGGACTGTTAAAGGTGCAAGCCCTGCCGGTGTTGAAACATCTCCTGTGGGTGATTTAACGAGCGGTGCGCCGACAGCAGAACCTACCGATGGCATGACATACGAAGGAATACTCCATAATGAAAGACAAAAGAAATTCCCCCGGTCATACTATCATGTCGAAGAAATGAACAAAGGACCGGGTGAGTCTCACTGAAACTTCTGGGCTTTTGAGTATCATAATAAGAAAGCGAATACTTCGCGATACGACAATCGTCTTGGCATATCCTTCTTGAGAGGCTCTCGGCTCTAGTAAAGTCGTGACAGTCGTTGACTGATCGAAAAGCAGCTCAATTGAAGAGCTTTAATTTCTCAAAAATTCACTGTGAAACCTAAAGGCCTACCGTGTCAGCACCTCCATCAAAGGGTATTCCTATGGGAGGTTTTGCTGAGTAAAGAACATTAATATAATGGGGAATGGAGCAGCGCGTTCAAGGTAATTGTTGTCAGCTGAGCGTCCCGGAGGTACGGGAATCTTGTTTAAACTTCTCCACTCTGTAGTTACATCGTACGTCCTCATATAGCAAGCATCTAGTTGTAAAAGGGTGAAGTATTTCGGATTTTCTGTGAGCAAACTACATAATACTACTTTGGGACCCTCTTCTGCATCGGCACCTTGACCTTTTTCAACAAGCACGATGTAAGCCGTGCTTATAACCTAGCAGTGAGCTGAATAGAGAAGGAGTTAGCAGTTCCAATGAGATTAGTCTCAATTTTTATTCCAGTTGACTACGCACTCCGTTTGGCTCAAGTTCCTTCTCAGTACCAGTTGGAATCTCTTTCGGAAATGTATGTATGCGACTTTCCGAAGCTCTGCAAAAGGTACTGAATTCGTCAGTTACCAGAACTTCTTAGCAGACCAGTCCATTGAGAAAAGAAAATCGAAGCCAGCACCTCTAAAGGATCAGTCCCTTCAACCAGGACCCTACTTTCTAGGTGATTAATTTCCAAAAATACTGATTACCATCACCATGTTGTGGTTTCGAATGGATTCAGGTGCCATTTCTTAATAGAGTCCCCCACTACCGCCCTCTACTAGTGTACTGAAAA